CCCAGAATGTCCTCCCAGGCATTGAGCGCTATTAACCCCAGTCTGAGCAGGAAAGGCGGCCCTCTCCTTCCTCCCTCCCAGGGGGGGGGGGCACAATCGCCCACACCCTCACCCCCTTGCTTCCCCCGCCTGTATTCTGGAGCTGTCCTGCACACAGTGATGGACTCAACTCCACTTCCGCTGTCACTCGGGGGGAATGATTCCCGGTTCTCTGGGCTCCAACAGGGAACCGGCATCTTTGATTCTTTGGATTCTTTATCGAGCAAAATTCTGTCCGTTGCAGGCGACAAAGGACCCAGGCACTCACAAGAATTTCCCAGCCCCGTCCGTCCCCCAATCCACTGAAACGTGATCACCCCCACAGTGACACAGAAACTTCTGTGCTTCGTACACACTTCCACAGGTCTCAGCTCCAAAACAAAGTCCACTCCTCACGTCTACGGCGGGCAAACCAGCACCCTTCTTCCTCCTCTCCTTCACGAGGACCACAAACCGAGGCTCGTCAGGCTGGAACGGCCTTTAAGGCCGATACAACCTCCTCTCAAAGATGAGAAAATGGAGAGGAATCTCACCCAGGTAGCTAAATTAGCGGCAGAGGCAAAGTGAGAACCCGACCCCCAGGCTCCAGCCGCGATGTTCCTCCCGTCAAAACACCCCCTGACTCCCTTTAAAACATCCCGACTCCTGAGATCGGTAATAAGATCCATCACACTGGAGCATCTCAAACAAAAGCGTCACGTGTCGCCGACTTTAACTGGTGTTAACACCCTGCGACGCCTTTCAAGTTGAGCCGCGACGCAGACCGACCAGGTACAGTTCCAGAATTTACAATGATATTAGCTCTCTACGGCAGAAAACCACACAAACAAGAATCCTTGTTCGAAAATAGATTCCCCCCGATTCCCTGCGGGGCACCCGCCGCCTCTGGCTACAAAGCAGTAATTATCCTGTACTACAGCAATCAATAAAACCTTTTGCCCCCCTGAACCTGCTATTCCCTGACTTTGTTCTCCGCGCGGAAGATTTCCAAGTCATATTGATCACCTACTAAATTTTTTCTCAAGTTCCTTAAAAGGAGCCACGAAGACATTCTTAAATTAGCATAACTTGTTATTGTTTGAGCGGGCTTCGGATCACTCAGGCACATTAATGCTTCCCCCCCTTGACTGGGTGTTCCCATTTTTCATCGGGAATTTGTCATTTTAAGTGTCTCTCTGTCTTGCCTAATAGCGCAAAGTCAGTAGGATACAAATTTGATGGTGTTTCCGAAACTGTGGCTGCTGCCACATTTTTCAGCCAAGCGAGGAGGAAGAATTGATTGATAAACTATGCCCTGTCTCTCTCTCTCTCTCTCTCTCTCTCTTTCTCTCAAGCAACAGCATGCATTTCTACCAAATGAACCCATTAGCTCCAAGAGTGTTAAAATTCAGCACCCTGGAACTTGTCTCCAGAACGATTCACTAGAGAATCTATTATATAAAGTGAAACCATCGTAGTACAGCCTTTCCAAGGGCATTTAACTGCTAACGCGTCAAACTTTAAGAGCGAGTCATAAAGGAGATGAGAAAGGACGGCGAGGGGGCGAGGGAGGCACCCTCCCGAGGGTGTGTGGGCACAACCACGGGGCCTCTGTGTGCAGAGCGGGGCGGGCAGAAAGACCTCTCGTCCCCTAAACAGCACTGACGCCTTCCCAACATTCCATCAGCGCGAAGCATCCATCGCGACTGGTTTGCTTCATGAGCCGACAGAGACCACGGGGAAATTAAATAATCGTGCATTACACCGTTATCTTTTCACCTCGGCAGCTGTCTTAATTCAAAGCAAAGGGAATAGTATTCAGTCTTAAAAAAGAAGGAACCTATCTTACACCACTCACAAAAATTCACTCGAAATGAGCTACAGACCTAAGTGTAAGACCAAAAACCATAAAACTCCTAGAAGAAAACAGAGGGGTGCAGGGTGTGGGGGGAGCACCTGGACATCAATCTTAGCGGGGTTTTGGTTTTTTTGGGGGGATAGGATGCCTAAAGCACAAGCAATAAAACAAAAAATAAACAAGTGAGACTACGTGAAGCTACAAAGCTTCTGCACAGCAAAAGAAACCATCATCAAAATGAAAAGATAACTTGGGGCGCTTGGGCGGCTCGATGGGTTAAGCGTCCGACTCTTGGGTTTCGGCTCAGGTCGTGAACACGTGGTTTGTGAGTTTAAGCCCCACGTCGGGCTCTGCGCTGATGGTGCAGAGCCTGCTTGGGATTCTCTCTCTCCCTGTCCTTCTGCCCCTTCCCCTCTCTCTCTCTCTCTCTCTCTCTCTCTCCCTCTCTCTCTCTCGGTCTCTCTCTCAAAAAGAAATAAATAAACTTAAAAAACTTTTTTAAAAAATGAAAAGATAACCTACGGAATGGGGAAAAATATTTGCAGCCACATACTGATAAGGGGTTAATATCCAGAATACATATAGAACCCATACAAGTCAATAGCCGAAAACAATCCAATTTAAACATGGGCAGAAGCGTCACTGGTTTCCCTTCATGCGTTTGGTGAAGGGGACTGGAGGTACGAGCTTCCAGTTATGACGTGAATACACCGCGGGGATGAAAAATACAGCCAATGAGACCGTCACAGCGTTGCATGGGGACAGATGTTAGCCACACTTGTGGGGAGCAGAGCACACGATACAGAGAAGGTGAATCACTTTGTTGCACACCCAAAACTGCTGTAAAGTCGCGTGTCCACTGTATTCAATTTAACAAGAAAGCAAGAAAAAGTGAGAAGCTCTGAACAGACATTTCTCCAAAGAGCGCATCCAGGTACACGAAAAGACGCTCGCCATCACTCATCATCAGGAAAACGCAAATCCAGACCGCAGGGAGGTGTCGCTTCACACGCGCAGGATGGCTATCGTCACAGAGACCAGAGAGAACATGCAGGCGAGGATGTGGAGAAGCGGGAGCCCCCGAGCACTGCTGGTGGGAATGCCAACCGGTGCAGCCGCGGTGGAAAACAGTACAGAAGTTGGTCAAAAACTTAGAACTAGAACTACCCTGTGACCCAGCAATCCCATGACTGGGAGTCTATCCAAAGGAAACAAAAACACTATGCCAAAGAGAGCTCTGCGCCCCATGTTCATCGCAGCATTATTTACAACAGCCAAGACATTAAAACCACCTACATGTTTATGGGCAGATGAACAGATAAAGAAAATGTGGGGGGCGCCTGGGTGGCCCAGTGGGTGAAGCGTCTGACTTCAGCTCAGGTCATGATCTCACGGTTCGTGGGTTCAAGTTCCACGTCAGGCTCTGTGCTGATGGCTCAGAGCCTGGAGCCTGCTTCAGATTCTGTGTCTCCCTCTCTCTCTGCCCCTCCCCTGTTCATTCTCCCTCTCTCTCTGTCTTTTTCTCTCTCTCTCTGTCTCTCAAAAATAAATAAAACATTTTAAAAAAGGCAATGACAGTGGTTGCACAGCCTTGTGACCACATCAAAAATCAGTGAACCGCACACTTAAAGGGATGAATCTTACAGTATGTGGATCGTGACTCAGGTTTTCTTCAACTATCGATGTGGGGGAGGGGCACACTCACAAATGTCATCGCCTCTAAGGGCGCCAGGGGCTCTGTGAGCAAAGACGGGGTTTGACCCTGGTTACCTGAGGAAGTGACCGGTGAGCTAACCGCTGGGGGAGGAAGGGGTAACGTGGGCAGAGGAGCAGAAAGAGGTCCACGGGGGAGAAGAGACGCAAAGGGCCCGTCTCTCTTTCTTCCAAGGCAGTAAGGAGCCACGAGTCAGCTGAGGCCCGGGCAGTGCAGTCGGTCCTTACAAATGTCACGGAAATGCAACTCAAACTCCACGTGTCTACTATGACTGCCTGTTAGCAGGCTCTCAATTAGGCACAACCCAGACCATTCCCACCAATCGGAAGAACGATCTATCGGAACTCGGAACAGAAGACAGTATCGAAAAGTTCCGGGAAAAAGCCACCGCCCATAACGGTGGACAAGAAGAAGCTCGGAATTCAACTCTAACACGTTACGTGTCGGTTCGAAGTGAAAACATCAAGTCGGAATTGTAACAGGCAGGCAGTCCTACGGACACGTTCCAGGCGCCTGAGGATCAGCGCAGAAAGTCTTCAAGCGTCACCCTGTCATCAAACACGGAAAACAAGGTGTTGAGGTTCAAGTATTTGGTAACGCAGCTTTTCTCATGTACACGATCGCATGGGCTCCTTCCGTGCCTGCATGACACGCGGGGTTTTCTCCAACTCTGCACCACGGCCAGTTTGAGCCCGCGATTCCCTGTGTGGGAACCGTCCTGTCCAAGCAAGGGTGTCTGTCTGCCAGCACCCGGCCTTCCCACCCGATGTCAGCAGCATCCCCTACCCCCTGTCGTAACCAAAACAGGCGTTGCCAAAAGTCCCCTGGGGGGGTACAGTCACCCCAGTGGAGCACCCCGTCTTCCAGCAACGAAATGGATCTCAACTACACAAGCTCTGGCCATTCCCTCGAGAGTAATGTCATTTCTCCACATGAGTTTGGTTTTCTACGTGCCTCACACCCTGACGGTCTCCCTGCAAGAAGGCAGGTTAAACCTTCTAGAGAAGCCTGTTCCAGATGCTCGATGCCACTGTTCAAAACGCTCCGTCTCTAAGGCGGAAGAAAAGCCACACAACCCGAAGAGGAAACAAGACGTCAGTCATGGGCGTCCCTCAGCCTCCCTTTCCCACCCCCAACACCCGTGTGACGGTCAGGCTCCAAAGCTTTAAGTCTGCGGAAGGCCACGGTCGGCTGGGCGGACGTCCAAAAACGCACCCAGGTCCCCCCTCACTCTGGAGCCCCTCCAGCCACTGAAACTCAAGACACGGCGCGTCAAGCACCAGACCTCCCTCCTACGTCGGTTTTCGAATCTCTGCCAGGCTTGTCTACAAGCGTCACGGACGGCGATCGCTCAGGGACCAAAAGGCTTCGGGACGCGGGCCAGCTTGGCGTCCGGATGCTGGAGCTTACCATCCGGGGGCATCAAGGCCTTGTTATTCTGCGTGCACCACCCCACCGGGTGGAGGTCCGCTATCACCACATCACACCAGAAGTCGGCCCGGCGGTCCTCGCCGTAGCCGCAGTAGCGCAGAAGCAGCAGCTGGCCGCAGGTGGTGATGACGGTGGCCACCCAGTACGTGTCCGGGTTGTTCTTATTGGCCACTTCTAATTTCATCCCCGGCTGGAAGTTGCTCTGAAGGCTGATCTCCACCTGCAGGAAAGAGAAGCACAGGGACGACATCACTATGCCTGACACATCCGGAAGATTACAAGAGCTGCTAAGACAACGGCACGTAAGGGGCACCCGGGGGGCTCAGTTGGTTAAGCGTCCGAATCTGGATTTCAGCTCAGGTCAGGATCTCACGGTCTGTGGGTTCAAGCCCCGCACTGGGCTCTGTGCTGACGGTGCGGAGCCTGCTTGGGACTCTCTCTCTCCCTCTCTCTCTGTTCCTCCCCAACTTGTGCGCTCGCGCTCTCTCTCTCTCTATCTCTCTCTCTCTCCCCACCCCAAATAACTTAAAAAAAAAACACACAGCACTTAAAAACAACATTCCTGGGATGCCTGGGTGGTTCAGTCGGTTAAGCGTCCAACTTCAGCTCAGGTCACGATCTCATGATTCACGAGTTCGAGCCCCGCATCGGGCTCTGTGCCGACAGCTCAGAGCCTGGAGCCTGCTTCGGATTCTGTGTCTCCCTCTCTCTCTGCCCCTCCCCCGCTTGTGCTCTCTCTGTCTCTCTCAAAAATAAAAAATAAAAATAAAAACAACATTCCTATTGGCTTAGAACAGCGCTAAGAGGAATAGAACCGGACGTTACGCTTTCTAGTAACCATGTTAAAAAAGCAAGATAAAACAGATGAAATTAATTTAATAACAGATTTTACTCGACCCAACATATTCCCAAACATCATCATTTCAAGATGTAATCCACAGACCTATTCATGACTTGTTCTACATTCTTCCTTCCCAAGGAAGCCTGCGAAATCTGGTGTGTGTTCTACCTCGACAGCATCTGTCCGGATGGTACACGTCTCAAGGGCTCAGGAGCTCCGTGTGGCTAACGGCCACTGCGGGGATAGCACAGCCTTAGAGAATGGGTCTCCTTTCTTTTCTTTTAATTAACGGTTACAGTCCATTAGGATCTACCAGCCCTCCCCTGAAAAGAAAGCTTTGGAGCCTGGTGGGCCATACGTTCGAAAGGTAACAAACACATCTGATATCCGTGAGTAGCAGCTGCTTAAGAGATGATGGAATTATCCATAGCTTGTCCACGGGTCCACGCCACTTTTCCTTTAAACCCTGCACACGTGCATCCAGGAGAGTACACTGGGGTTAAAGGGGAGGTGGGAGAAATGACAGGATTAAAGAGAACAGAGTGGCTCCGTGGGGGGGGATATTGGTAACTTCCTGGTCCAGAAAGGAAGGAAAGGTTTGTGGGACAGTACCTCTTTCCTACACCACCTGAAGGGATCTAGCGGAGTCATTCTAGAATCTGAAGGGGCAAAACAGCCAAAAGCAAGAACAGGCTGGAAATGTGCCCCCAGTTTGCTCACCACACTCGGGCTAAGAAGTCTTTGCCCCGGAGAGCCCAGAGAGAAGGAAAAAAAAAAAAATGTGTCTTGGAATTAAATTTTCATTTCCAGCAAAGAAACTGTAATGCCTCAGAACTCCAGTCCTGGAAATTCAGTCTTCCCCTTGCTAATGGCATATGACCAAAAATCTCACCCATAAGCAAAAATCTGGTAAAACCTCGATCTTTTACTTCCTGGGACTTCCCCTTGGCTGGGCACGCTATTTGCATTGCTCAAAGAATATTACTGCGAAAATGATTTTTTGGTTTGATACAAATGTGCCCTGGATATTTACAGGGGATTTCCTCTGACTTCACTCCTCTGCCCCCAAATGGCTAGAAGACTTTTAGGTGTCCTGTCAAAATAAAAATATCATTTCCAACTAAGAGAATACACAGCCATTACATCTCCTGAGATACTATTACTCTTCACATGTACTTGCCTAGTTTGCTGGCTCTTTACTCGCATCAATCAATCTTTCCTGTCTCGGGCCGTGTCTACTCGGGCTGTTTAGGGCACAGAACAAGGATAAGGTACACGCTGAGCTCCCCCTCCCCAGGCCCAGCCCCCCGTTATCAGAAGAGATAACGTACAAGGATAAGGCCCATCTTCCCCACAGCTCTCTGCGAAAAGCAAACAGACATGTGTCCGTATCTCCTCCTGATTTCTAAGAAATCCTGGCTCAATTTCCCTTTTCTTCCCCAAGGTTCAGCATCTTCCTGCAGATGCCCCTCCCACCCTCCAAATGCAGAAAGAGAAGGCGTGTCACATACATGTTTGAACGACGTGTGAGGAGCCGCGCTGGCTCCCGTTTCTTCCAGATACTCTCCCCAGTTAAAGCCAATTTCCTCCAGGCTTGAACCTTCTTCTGTTGAAAAGACAAAAAAATAAATAAATACATACAGTCAGAATATCAATACCAGAGCGACGACTGGAATGGCACCGGCCCTCAGTGAAAAGCAGGAAATCCGTGATGCAGGAGACAAGCAAATTCAACAGGTTAGGAGAACACTATTACATGCACAGCATCGTGTGCTGACTGCAGAATGTTGACTAAGAAAAGGAAACACTGGAGAAATTCTACGTGAGCTACCCCGGCAAAATCCAGGGTAAAATTAAGTGCGCTCTCAGGCAAACAAAATGAGATTTGTTTCGGGGCACAGTTGCCGCGTGTTAGTGTATTCACTTGGAATTAGCCACTGTCACTGTGGGCACTTCATGCTTCCGGGAGGTCGGAGGACCAGGTAAAGGAAACCACTGGGCATTGAGGAGGCACCTTAATGTACAGATGAACACCTCTGAGCACTGGTCACTTACCACAGCTGGAGGTTACAAAACGACAGCACAGATTGTTGGTGTTGTAAGGGACCTTATTAGGAAGCACGAGCCCGGACGTGATTCCAAGGAAAACACTATTTGAGGTCCAGAAGGATCGCTCCAAGATGTGAGGTCACCTAGCAAGTTAGTGACAGAAGCCGACCAGCTGTCAATCAAACAATTCTCCAGACATTGAAGACTGTGCATAAGATACAATCTCTATCGTCAAAAGGCACCAGATAACTCCTCTCGAAGCACAGGTAACGACATTATGGCGTAGTTTCAAATGGAAAGAACTAATAAGCTGTAAACGTTACTTTCACCTATCTGCAGGGCTATCTTAAGGAACACAGAGCAGTCGGGGGTACCCACACATGCAGATAGGCAAGAGCTTCAAAAGTTTAGATTCTCTTTTCTTGCAATACTGAGCAACGGGTGTGGATGTTCAGCCTGTGTGTCTTCTACAGGCAAGAAGCCGATGTCACTGGCCAAGAATAAACACTGCTTTTGGTCACGTTGCTGATGGAGAAGCGGTATATCCGGGCAGGTAGGCCAGCCGGATCGACAACAAGGGACTCTAAGAAAGGAAGCCTTGTTCTTGCGGGCTATTGCTGCCTTTCTTTCCACGAGAGGTTTCTTCCGTTGTCAGTAGGAAAAGTCATTTTCTTGGGAGGCTCTGCGGCGTCTCAGAAATCGACAGAAGGTAATTTTTGTAAAGCCGGATGACGCGAGGCTAAACGCAGTTACCTCGCGTTTTGTCTTCTAAATCAAAGTTGCTTAAGCACGGCCTCCGCAGATCCTACCCCCGTCAAGTGGCTTGCAATTAAACGTCCGAGAAAAACAAAAGCCATCTGAAGAGCAAACCTTTTTCCCTTGTCGTTCTCCCAACATTCTGCTGCATCCAGGGACTTAAGTCCTTCCACTGGAAACACGCTCCCCGGAAAAAGTCAGCGGGTCCTCTAGCCGCCAGCCAACGAGAGACACTCTGAGACACAGTTATGTTCTGGAAAGTACCTCGGGGCGGGGGGTGGCGGGGGTCACCCAGTGGGTGGTCTGACCCACAGTTCTTCTCTCCCAAAGGCCGCAAGCTTCGATCACCAAGTCTGTTTCCTGAGGCACCAGCCAAAGGCATCCCCGCACAGCACTTACGTGCTCAGGGGGGCTGGCGAGGTGCCTGTTTGGCGGCTAACTTGCTGCACCCCCTACTTGTCCAGCTTAAGCTCAGCCCACGCCACCGGCAGGCCTCGCCCGCTCCAGCTGTGGGTCATGCACGGAGCCCCACAGAGACACCACACGGTCACGGCGGTGTCCTAAGAGCCACGCTGTCCTGGGCTGGCAGCTCTCTGCTCGTTGCTCTGCAGGCATCACCGCATTTCGTCCTTCCAAGAACCCTGACAGACGCTTACTACCATCCCCACCTCACGGAAGAGAAGTCGGGAGCCCCGCAAGGCGAGGGAGCCACCGGGACCACGCACCTGTCTGGCCGCAGAGGCCGGAGTCCTGCCCAGGCTGTCTGCTTTCGAGCCGGAACGCCTCCCAGGCGCCTTCCTGGTCACCCTTCCACCCGGTCTCACGTGGGGCACGTCCACTCCACCACCACGACCCGTTCCTCCTCCGGGAGGGTCCAAGGTGCACTCCAGGGCCGGCTTCTGTGTTGGCGAGCATTAGAACATTCCAGAGCCAAGCCAGGAGGCGGGAAGACGCAGGTGACCCGGCAAGGCGGGAGGCAGCAGCCAGGCTCAGCAAGGACAGAGGGCGCAGAGCCCCTGGAGTCCTTCTGCAGGAGGACACAGCGAGGGGAAGACGTGGGCATAAAACTCAGTCTTGGGCCTTCAGAGACGGGGCCCCCAGGAGCTGCCCGCCGCAGCCGGTGCCTGGGCCTACAGAGCTCCGATGGGCCCCATCACCGCGCCTGGAAGGACCTGGGGACTCGGTCACTTGGAATCAGCCGTGAGGGCGAGACCGTGGGTCACATTTCTCAGCTTTGGGGCGGCTCCCCGCAATGCTTCCTGCTTCAGACAGCTCCCACCTAGGCTGCGAACATCCTACCCCACATTTTGTTCTCGCCGAACCTTAATTCATCACAAACCGTGTTTCTCTTCCCGCAATACACAGGCCGTAGATGCTTTCATGCTCCCTCGGGTGCTCGTTCAAGTTCCTAAGAGATGGAGACGTCCCCCCTGTGACTCCCAAGTGAGCCCCTGAGAACATGCTTCAGGGGCGTCTGGGTGGCTCAGCCGGCTGGGCGTCCAACTCACCGCTCGTGAGTTCAAGCCCCACAGCGGGTTCTGGGCTGACAGTGCAGAGCCTGCTTCAGATCCTCTGTCCCATCTCCCTCTCTCTCTCTGCCCCTCCCCCCATTCACTCTCTCTCTCTCTCTCTCTCTCTCTCTCTCAAAAATAATACACTTGGGGGAAAAAAAAAAAGAACACCACTTCGGAGAGTTGATGCCTCCTGCAGTCCAGAAAAAATACTTTAAATTTTTTTTTACTTTTTTTAACGTTCACTCATTTTTGGTAGAGAGAGACAGAGCATGAGCGGGGGAGGGGCAGAGAGAGAGGGAGACGCAGAATCCGAAGCAGGCTCCAGGCTCCGAGCTGTCAGCTCAGAGCTCAACGGGGGGCTGGAACGCACGAACTGTGAGATCCTGACCTGAACCGAAGTCAGACACTCAACCGACTGAACCACCCAGGCGCCCCCAGAGAAAATACTTTTAAAAAGAACCCAGAAGTCAGATCTGGAATGGGATTTTAAAAAATAAAGCTTTTATGGGGCCCCTGGGTGGCTCAGTCGGTTGAGCGGCCGACTTCGGCTCAGGTCATGATCTCACGGTCCGTGAGTTCAAGCCCCGCGTCGGGCTCTGTGCTGACAGCTCAGAGCCTGGAGCCTGTTTCGGATTCTGTGTCTCCCTCTCTCTGACCCTCCCCCGTTCACGCTCTGTCTCTCTCTGTCTCAAAAATAAATAAACGTTAAAAAAAAAAAATTTTTTTTAAAAATAAAATAAAATAAAGCTTTTATGTCCCGCACTGGTAGTTTTGACAATAAAATCGCACAGCAAACTTAGGGTCCCCTACAAGAAGTCTTTCCCAGTCTGTGACTCCTGGCACATCCCCCCGGCACACACATCCCCAACAGCCGATTCTCTAAAGACGTTTCAATGAGCAACAGATAAACACACACGCTGTTTATGAGCGGAGGTCTCATAAACCCAGAGCAAATATTTACAGCTGATTCATAAACCTCTTAAGCCTGTAAACATTTTATCAGGGAAACCCTGACAACCTCCCTCCTCTGCGAAGGCACCAGTGGGAAGCATTTTTCCCCACGATGTCATGAAAACAGACCATGAAACGCCACCAAGGAAATTTCACAACTTAAAAGAAAACAGGCATATGCTCATTAGCGGCCATCCAGTTCTGCAAAACAGAAGGCTACTTACGCGACCAACATATTTATTTCATAACAGACAGAAAAGGAACACTAATCGTTGAGGTGCAAGCCACTTGAGGGTGAAAAATGGAATGAACGAACGGCTCACACACCTTTTTTGAGGTAATCAAGTCCTGGGTTTTGATTTCACTGTCTGAAATAAGGCTGCCTTTGCAAGGCTGACTATTAAAAGTCCCTGACTGCTAACTACCCAAATAAAGGAGCATCGGCAGGTTTGAAGTGAATAAAATCTTAACAGAACACGTTCTCATGTGCTAGGTGTTATTCATAAATAAGGGAAGAGAAAGGAAGGCATTAAGTCTTTGCTATTTCACCTGCCAAGTCTGGTCACACCATCACAAGGTGTAAAAAATAGTTCCACAGAGTACGTTAAATAGACACACAGGACGAACGAAACTCGGCTGGCCAACACCAATCCGAGGGCTGAGTTCACGGCTGCAGGACGACCCCAGGGAAGCGGGGACAGTCACTGAGCACAGAGGTCCTCACCCCCGTCTGACCACCCAGGCGGCCAGAGAGATTTTTTTCAGAAGAAAGAAAACACATAAAAATTATCCAATCACCCAGCTTGGTTGGGAAGGACAGTAACTATTCTAGAGAGAGGGGTTTTTTGGTCTTTTCTTTGTTTTAATTTTTTTAATATTCATTGATTTTTGAGAAAGAGAGAGACAGAGTGTGAGTGAGGGAGGAGCAGAGAGAGCGGGAGACACAGAATCCGAAGCAGGCTCCAGGCTCTGAGCCATCAGCACAGAGCCCAATATGGGGTTTGAACCCACAAATGGTGAGATCATGACCTGAGCCAAAGTCGGACACTTCACCGACTGAGCCACGCAGGCACTCCGCTTTTTTGTTGTTGTTTTTTTTTTAACAGGGAACATTATTGAGTCACACAGCACCTGTTCCCAGCACCAAGCGTAAGAGAGCTCTATTTTTCTAATAAGAATGTTGAAAAGCCTGTGGGACTCCACTCAGTGTGTTCCTAACACCAAAAAAAAAAAAAAAAAAAAAAAAAAAAAAGCCAGCCCACATTTCCAGCCTAATTCTCTTTACTCTGAGGCCTGCCCGTTCTAAATGCACAACACCACTTTATCTACAGACCTCATCAGGAAATTACATTTGGCCAGCCTGGAAAACTAACGTCAAGGGGTCTATTTATCACCACGCCAGCACAATGCTCTGCTTGCTTGTATCACGGCAGAAGCCTAGAGTTCCAGAAATCCAATTCTGGTCCACGACCTTCTCTATGCAGCCCGTGCCGATGCCGTCCGTTCCGTCCGCTGGCGAGGCCCTTCGGTTCACCTCCCTGCGCTCATCCCGCTGACGTCCTCAGTGTTCCTGAAAGGAGGAGGACTTTTACACTGTGCCTGTTTCATTTACAGGACTCGAGTGCCGGTCAGAGTATTGTTTGGAGCTTTCCTTAGGAAAAGAGGCAAGTGGAAGATGACAAAGCTGTTCGTGAGATTCAGAGTCCACTGGTTGGCGCTCGAGTTCTCAGTTCAGAGGGATGGACCGTCCGGACGAGGAATGGACCGTCCGGACGAGGAATGGCATCCACTCGGCGTCGGGCGTGCAAACACGAAATCAAAACCCCCAGGAGCAGCCGGCGGAGGCTTCTGTGGTTCGGCCCCATCGCGCGGGCAGAGAGGAGCTGTGGGCACCTACGGGTAGTCACGTGCTGGGGAGGTACAGGCATGTGTCACATCACACGTGGGGAGAGGGGCCAGCAGACAAGAAGCTGGGTGGTGCCGGCGCCCCAGAAAGGGTGTGTGCGCGTGGAGAGGGGGTACGCACGTCACATTTATGTACCAAGAGTGACTTCCCCCTGCACGGAAGTGCAGGGACAGCCCAGTGTCACCGAGCACCGTATCTGGAGCCTCAGGATGCCTGCGGTGAAATCCAGGCTCCAACACAAGGGCCAAGTGACTTCTCCCTGTGGTCCAGTGGCCTCCTCTCTAAAACGGGGATACTGAAAGCAGCTCTTTCGCTGGGTCATGGAAGGGTAAACGGAGTCAACGTACAGAAGGACCTGAAGTGAGTGCCTGCCATACAGTTCGAACTCAGGATCACGTCCCCAGCTGTCCCAGGTCAACGTAGAACCAGCTGAGGAGCATTGAACGAGCCTTCTCCTGTTCTTCTGATCCGTAAGTCTCGTCTGAAACGCCTCTGGGCAGAAGAGCCTTGTCACCAAAATGATGTGCTGTCCCTAGTGTGTCACGCCCGAACCAGATACCCTCCAACTAGGCCACCACCGAAACTGTCTTAGGTATCAACAGCTCAGAGGAGCCCCACTTGAGAAAATCCGCTTCCGGACGACTCATACCGGAGTAGGCTCTGAGCAGTCGAAGTGTGAGTTTCTTCCCCAAGTCGGCCTCTGCTCGCCACAGAGAGTTCTATTAGACGTTGCTTTAAACTGATTTCTCCCCCCAAAAAAAAAGAATCAGCACATGCAAAAAATAAAAAAAAATAAATACGTAAACTGATTTCTCCTTTAGGGGTCCACCTTTGTGGCACCACCTGTAAGTCTCCCCCATGCATAAGAGCTTATGGGAACCCCAAGGAGAAAGGACAGATCAGCCAGATACGAGGGGAAAAAAAAACTCTGGGACCACAATCTGCAAATGCTAACATAATTCAGAGCCACTCAGAACTCCTACTTTTTTTTTTAAGTTTAGGTATTTATTTTGAGAGGGAGAGAGTGTGCATGAGCAGGGGAGGGGCAGAGAGAGAGACAGAGGAGGAGAGAGAATCCCAAGCAGGCTTCATGCTGTCAGCGCACAGCCCGACATGGGGCCTGAACTCACGAAACCGTGAGCTCATGACCTGAGCCAAGGTCAAGAGTCGGGACGCTTAACCAAATGTGCCACCCAGGCGCCCCAGAGCTACTGTTCGTTTTAAACATCTTGACGTCTTATACAAATCAGGCCGCATATGGCACACGAGCAAGGAAGCCCCCATGCAGTGAGTGCTGTGTGACGGGCTCGGCCCAAGCACACCGCGGCCAATGACAGAACGAATCTCGCGCTTCCCTTTCATGGAATCACCCCGAAGGAAACGTAGGATGAGTAATTTTCCTGACACCGTGTTATTATTACCGCAGGGTTTCAAAATCTACTTCAGCTAGAGAGATCTACTGCAGCTACAAGAAAATGAAAAGCTAACACACGGTTGGTTTTTAAACAGTTTTGAAAACACACCTTTAGAAATGATGCGGGAACAGACATCAGATGTGCATCCAACGAAGTCACGGTGAAAGCCCAGGGAACCGTAAGTGGAAAAGTAACCCCTTTCAGGAAACCTAAGACAGACTTTTCTACAAAGCGTATTTGTACTTAAAGAACATCAAGCCTATAGGACGGAGTTTCCTCAGGAAGGAATTTCCATACTTCCGCTGTGGGACAAGGACTCAACTATGCCTCTGGAAGTTTCCTCACTCTGGCTTTCATAGAGAAAAATCACAAGGGATGGGGGTGGAGGACTGGGCTGATTCTGAAGGAGACGCTAACATCTTTCAACATATTTAGGCAATAATCTCAGGGGGGTTCCAGATTTTTGGCAGATAAAGATACAACTTGAGAAATGTAACGTAATCAATTCGATGATACCAAGCAATCTGTAATTCTGTCATTGACCGCAGTCATCAAAACATGGAGATGAACTTCGTGACTTTTCTGGATAACGGTCAAATCTCCCACTGAATTCAGGATCAACATTTTGTACATGAATTCACCACGGCAAACGTTCGGGATCCAGACAGCTGAGTTGCCCTTATTTAAGCTGCTGTAATGCAAATACAGCAATCCTTTGAAAAAAAAACCAAAAAACAAAAAACCACTAGTGTCTTTTTAAAACGGATTCCTGTGTAAGTATTTAGAAAAACATGCTTTCTAATAAATTCACTGATTAAATATTAAAATTCAATCAAAGACTGGCTTGGTGTGCTTTGGTTTTAGTTTCCTTTTTTTTTTTTAATTTTATTTTTTTAATTTTCAAAATTTACATCCATGGGGCACCCGGGTGGCTCAGTCGGTGAAGCGCCCGACTTCGGCTCAGTTCACGATCTCACGGTTCATGGGTTCGAGCCCCACGTCAGGCTCTGTGCTGACAGCTCAGAGCCTGGAGCCTGTTTCAGATTCTGTGTCTCCCTGTCTCTCTGCCCCTCCCCCACTCGCGCTCGGTCTCCCTCTGTCTCAAAAATAAACAAACATTAAAAAAAAATTTTTTTTTAATTTACATCCAAATTAGTTAGCATCTAGTGCAACAGTGATTTCAGGAGTAGATTCCTTGGGGCCCCTTACCCATGTAGCCCATCCCCCCTCCCCCAACCCCCTCCGGTAACCCTCAGTTTGTTCTCCGTATTTATGAGTCTCTTTTGTTTTGTCCCCCTGGTTTTAGTTTCCTTAAAGGGAGGCAGACCTCACCACGCACTCACGTGACCTAAGTTCTTTTCCCATTAAGGAGTTCTCGGAGAGACATGCTGAGGTTCTGGAGAGGGGAGAGAAGGCGGGGACCCCCAGAGCTGGGGCGGACCCGCTCTCCTGCCTCTCTGGGCACGTAGGAGACAAGGATGGCTTTCTCACCTCCCTTGCAGTGGTGCCCACACGTGACAGGTTCCGGTCCAGAGGTTCTGAGCGAAAGTGAGCCGCGTCTTCTGAGTCGGAGCATTTCACTGTTGACTCGGGAGCCCCCAGCCCCACCTCCCCCGGAACAAAAACCACCACCCGCACGTGGCGCACCGTAAGACCGTGTGAATGAGTCAGCGAGGGAATGCCCGCTACCTCGCCTGAAATGGCATGAATGTAACGTCGACATTTACGGGGTTACCCACTGAGATTCTGAAGGGATCCGTCACTCCGGTGTCACCTGCACCTCTCTGTCCAGCATCGGGAATACTGATTCTGCACTAACTTTCAAGAGGCCGCAGGCTGACGAACAGGACAGCAAATCCTAGCAACGGGCAACGTGAGAGACCTAGGAACGTCTGCCCTGCTGTGCCCCGAACATCTTCGGGGAGACACGGGTCACTAAATCGAAGGGGTCAGACAGATCCAGAAAAGAAACTCCTACCTGAGTCGAGCCCTCCATTACCGTTCGCTGAGCTCTGCTGTCTCTCCAAGGGCGAAGACAGTGGGTCTGGCATGTCGGAAACTGACAAACCGCTCTCCATGCCTAACGAGTAAGGGTCCCTCTTCTCTTAACGCATCCTGCAGGAAGGATCACCTAAGGGCAACCAACAAAGGAAAAAAAAAAAAATCAGAGGCCCTTGATTATCCTCGGTTTATAGAGGCTCCAAAAATAACAGTATCTGATCAGTGCTGTTGCCCTGTCATTATAACACGCAGGCTCAACGGAATGTTGATGATAGAAAATACCAGAAATAAAGACTGAGGAGTACGCGTCCACACACAGGTCCCAGCTTAGTGAAACCCACCGGTTTTCCGTAGGGCACGATCGTCACTGAGACGAACACGCTTCTCACCAACACCATCTACGCGGGGAGCCCCAATCGACCTCGGCACGGCTGGCAAGACGGTCCGCCACCCACCCCTGTGCTCCCCTCTCGCGAGGCCGTGAAGCGGCAAACCTCCGAGACGTCTGCTGTGTCCCAAGCACGGAACTTCCAAACCCACTTAAAGTGCCCACGTTCGCAAATGCGCTTTTTGACCGATTAGACTTTGCCTCCAAGAGCACGGCTCGCCTTCACTTACTCGCATGCCGCGACGACAGGTGGGAAACCAGGGAGAACTACAGGCGCCTCTCGCAGAACCTACAGCGGAGCTCATTTCCGTTACGCCCCATGGAAGAGCCAGACACGACACCCCTCGGGGTCGGCCACCGGCCCCGCTGACGGTCAGACACAGCCGTGTGAGGCTTCTAAATCTTTCACTCACTCAGCATCTGCTTTTACCTCACGGCTAGACGGAAGTTCAAATCGGCAAAAGGGCAAGGATGGATGAAGAAAAGGATAGCGCCCCTGTACCTATAAGCAGACTATTTTGTCACTCCCACACAGTAAAATGCCTTTTAAGGATACCACACGCACACACACACACACACACACACGCGCGCGCGCACACGAATACACGCATCCCTGTTGGTGCTCTTCGGTTTACCTTCCTGGAACATTATTTTGAGGTTTTGTCAAAATTACAGGTCCAGGAAAGGGTACCAGCCATCTGTGCAAAGGCGGGGAAAAGGCAGAAAGCTCTCACAGGAGGAGACGGGAAACACACCAGGTACGTGGTGCTGGAATTGAATCTCGCTGTATTTTATTATCCACCTGTTTGTATAAAATACTACACCAGACACCGTGAGGGGAGGGGACTCCAGAGCCACCTCTCAATCAAAACACAAAGAAAAGAAAATACCTAGCATAGAGTAGGAACCTAAAAACTGTCTAGGCTGGGTCTCAAGTGGCAATCTGTGCATCTTGCTAGTGCAAAGGTAAGGACACGAATAGGAAATGAAATGACAAATTACCAGGCAAATGTAAACCACTAGGAGATTATCTCTTACTCGTTCCACACTCTCCGAGCAAGGGTGCTTATCATATTTTCTGGAGCAAAATGAGAGGGGACGTGGTCTGAGGGGCAGACGTCAGGACCAGCGATACAATGTAAGCCGGGCCTGTCCGGGAAAACAGGAGAGCCCTGGTCAAAAGGCGGGGTACCAGACCCAAAATGGTTTCTGTGGTTTGTTTACAAATCACATAAACGACAGGTAAATACCACGCCCTCACTGCAGCGCTGTGTGGGGCAGAGAACACAAGGCAAAGCAGTCTTAATCCTGCCCTCCAGCACAGACTAAGACAGACGGTGCAAGAAACTTGGGTGCATACGGGAACAGCTTAAACCTAAGTAGAAACTGGATGTGTTTTTCTTTAAATAATCTTTTTAAATGAAGGATTAAATAAAGGAATCCGTTCAACAGATAGATGGGTGCCAAGATTATTTAAAATGGAGGGCATTGGCAAAGCCAGCACTTTAACATTGAGGCTGGCTAATTTTACCCCACCGACATCAGGTTGCTAAAATAACCTCACGATGAGAGGCAGAACTGCATTCTCCTAGGAGAGTTCTTTCCCAATCGCCATTACAACACAGATTCACGAATTTATGGGGAGCCACAGTCCTGGGTATTTCGTCCCCCTCGCGCTGCACCCAACAGACCAGAGAGTGGAAGAAGAGGCCACCAGGGCGACTCACAAGCTCTCGTGCCTGGATCTTACAGTGGATGGCAGTAGTCACCGGTCTATCTCTAATGTCACTGGAATGAAGGAGCAATCGCCGGTGCAATCTGCAGAAAATTCAGGTGTTGAAAAGAAAGCGCGGCCATCCCACCGGGTGCCCAACTGTCAACGATGACGTCAACAAGCAAGCGCGGCCATCCCACCAGGTACCCAACTGCCAACGATGACGTCAACAAGCAAGCGCGGCCATCCCACTGGGTGCCCAACTCTCAACGATGACGTCAACAAGCAAGCGCGGCCATCCCACCACGTGCCCAACTGCCAACGACGATGTCAACAAGCAAGCGCGGCCATCCCACCAGGTGCCCAACTGTCAATGATGACGTCAACAAGCAAGCGTGGCCATCCGACCGGGTGCCCGAGTGCCAACGACAACGTCAACAAGCAAGCGCGGCCATCCCACCAGGTGCCCAAGTGCCAACGACGACGTCAACAAGCAAGTGTGGCCATCCGACCGGGTGCCTAAGTGCCAACGACGACGTCAACAAGCAAGCGCGGCCATCCCACCACGTGCCCAACTGCCAACGATGACGTCAACAAGCAAGCGTGGCCATCCCACCACGTGCCCAACTGCCAACATGCCCCCACTTCAAGAACACATGCAGGGAGCCCACAAGGTTAAAACATACACCTGCTAGCAACGATGGAAGTTTGTGTGTGAGTTTACAGACCACCGGATCACCTACACAGGGACACAATGCCCACCGACTCCAGGGGCATCCAGACGGCACAAAGAGAGGGGCAGATGGGGCACACTCTGGAAAACACTGCCTCCCTCACAGCGATCCACTGGAGTCTGTCAGGGGACCACCAAGAACTGGGAAGGCAGAAGGATGAGCCCCTGAAGGTATCGGGGGTGGGACACTCGGAGCAAACAGAGTACCACAAACCGCCTGCACAGAGCGCACCGCCGTGGTAAGCTGGTAAGTGACAGGAAACACCACGGACGCAGAGAAGCACAGGCGAGCAAGACGTGGGAGCCGGGATTACCAAGATGGTGGTCAGGCAGGACCTGAGCAGGTGCTGCCTGATCAAACTCAGGGCCGCACTCCAGCAAGAGGAGAAGGTTCTGCCTGAGCGAGGACCCGAACCCCTGCGCTCCACTCTGTGGTCAGCATTTCATTCCAGGGGGTGAAAAGATCAGATCTGTTCCAGGAAAGTCACTGTGGCAGCTGGATGCCAGGCAGACGGACAGACAGGGACAGGACTGAAAAAAAAAAACAACGCGGGCGCAGGTCTGAACTAAGACAGCAAGGGAGAAGAGAAGGCAGGAAGCTCAGGGTGTATCTGACAGATGCAGCCCAGGAAGCCCCAACATTAACAAAACACAATCTTGTCACAGCTGGAAGGCAGGTTCTCAGAAGAAATCGCTTCATTTGCCACAGCCAGTCCTCCACAACTAATGGGACCTAGGCAGTGCCCGTGGAAATAAAAATTAGGGGGGGAAATACGCTGACTATGAGAATGACAGACCATTTCACAGAAATTTACTTCCAGTGGAGTCTGTCGGGGGAGCAAATCTTACTGGTGACAGCTGGCCCAGAAGATCTGCCAAATGAAAACAGGATTGTGAAAAGCAAATCCTTTTCCTGACTACAACACCCGAACCCCCCCAAAAGGCTATTTTTAAAAGGAAGTGTATTTCATTCTGATCTTAAGATATATATAACTTCAAGACCAAAGGTAAAACTTTCTATTAATGAAAGAACTTTTTTTTTTTTTTTTTTAGACGTGAAAAGAAGGCTGAGAAAACCGGGTTTTTAAAGGGTAGCTTCCTGGGGCGCCTGGGTGGCTCAGTCGGTTAAGCGGCCGACTTCAGCTCAGGTCACGATCTCGCGGTCCGCGAGTTCGAGCCCCGCATCGGGCTCTGGGCTGATGGCTCAGAGCCTGGAGCCTGCTTCCGATTCTGTGTCTCCCTCTCTCTCTGCCCCTCCCCCGTTCATGCTCTGTCTCTCTCTGTCTCAAAAACAAATAAAACGTTAAAAAAAAAAAAATTTTTTTTTAAAGGGTAGCTTCCTGTTTTTATAATACACCTGTGATCCAGTGCAAAGCTATTAATCCTACAGAATTGGCTCTTCTTGTCTCTAAAGTTGTTGAACGACAGAATTCTAGTAACAGGAGCATCTCACAAAAGTTGTCTTGGCTCAGTGATAAGAACAGTGAACTTGGAGAGGAATAAGGTCACTATCGAGCTGTGTGACCTAAGCAAATTACTTAACCTCTCTGTTCCTCAAACTTCTCATGAAGGCATAATTAGAGTAAATCAATGGCCCTTTGAAACCTAAAGTTCTGGGGTGCCTGGGTGACTCTGTCGGCTAAGCGTCCAACTCTGGATATCAGCTCAGGTTGTGATCTCGTGGTTCATGAGATCGAGCCCCAAGTCGGGCTCTGTGCTGACAGAGTAGAGCCTGCTTGGGATTCTCTGTCTCCCCTCTCTCTGCCCCTCCCCTACACATGTGAGGATTTCATTCCAGGGAATTCACTCCTTCTCTCCCCCAAAATTAATTAATTGAACTTCAAATCTAAAGTTCTATGAATCTATCAAGGCTTTTTTTTTAAGTGGTAATGGTTTATTTGCTGCATTCATATTACCCGTTTATCTGAAAGAAATTTAATATAATCAGCATCCTCCCCCTGTAACTTCTTTTCTGCCTCCTCCAATCATTTGGAGAGTATTCAGAGAAGGTTAACTAATTTTAGCATAAGGCAAGCAAAGTCCTGTTAGGACGAAGATGGGCAGGGAAGGACACTCACTAGGTACTATCCTAAAGCTAACCAGGAATTTATTAAGGGCTTTTACCTAATTTGAATTAGTTGCAGACCAGCAAGATCCAATAGAATTTTCCATACCTTGCATGGTCCAACACAGTAACCACCAGCCACACGTGGATCTCAATTTTAATTAATTTATAAGTCCTATTGGCTGTCGTCTTACAGAGTACAGCTAGCCCACAGCACAGACAGGCCAAAG